GCAGAGCATGTAGAAGACTTGGATTCGGTCTGTGCACTTTTTCCATCTGGTATGCATAAAGGCAAAACTAAACAAGATTAGCAACATTTTGTACTCCACATTTTAAGGGGAAGTTGATCCTTCTGGCAGGAAAAAAAAGGAAATGTTTCTACAAAACAATGCACGCAACAAGCCCAAACTGAATTCCAAGTAATTCTAAAGACTCGCCTATGGCAGGAGTCCTAAACTCATACAGTTTGAGCAGTCAACAGTGTAAGTACCATGTCAGTCAATACACAATTAAATGTAATTAAAATGGACCAAGTAGAACAATATATTGGCGCTCTCACACACAACTTTGAGTTACCAGCAACTGGGGGATGCACATCTGCATCAAAACGAAGCCTCAGACACTAAACTCCAAGATTCGGTTCTGTCTTTTTTGCAAACGTAAAAATAACCACTTCATTTGCCTTGTCTTTCAGACCTCCTGCTTAACATCAGGATGCAACACAACCAGTTAGAAGCAAAGTTCTCACCCAAAGTGAAAAGGAATACTTACCTTCTGTGGAAGCTGCTGCTGAGCACTTTGCTGCTGTTGCATGACCTTGGGAATAGCAGCCGAGGGCTCCTGTGCTTTACCCTCTTTGAACTCGCTGACTTTGTGCCGGTAGTATGCATGGTAAGGATCATTAGGATTCAGGAAATTGAACTTAGGGTTATTTATTTCATTCTGACGAATTCGAGCTTCAAATTCTGGACCATTTCTGGGGAGGGAAAAGATAAATTACACTCAGGTGTAAATGTCTGTTACTTTCATAGTAAGGTGTGTTGGTGCATCAGCCCCTCAGAAGACAATTTTCTCTCCTACATGGAAGGAGTTTACATCCAAGTAACACATACCCAACACAGCAGCCAGCTGTACACACAGAAGTTATACACTAAATTAGGACAAATGCCTCTAACGTTTCACAGTGACTATTTCTCACGACAGTTAAAAACTCACACGAATGTTCCACGATCTCATTTAGCTATACGCAAACAAAAGACCATTTACTGGATTGACAGTTCATTGGATAAAGTTTACAAGTTACTTACTAGATAAATTTTATTTCCTCTATTAACAAGCTTTTACGATTAGTTTAGTTTCCAGAAAGTTCATATAAGGAAAAAAGCAGGTAACCATCGGCCTGTGCAGAGACTGATCACACTTGGAGTGTGACATTTAGGAGAGCGCTAAGTTTAAGTTTAAGTTCAGATAACATCCATTCATCCCATCCAAAGGGCAAGCCACTTATTCCACGGTAGTTTGAGAAAGTTAACAGCTGCCATAGCATGCTTCTCTATATTCTCTGGAGTTCTCTTCTTTAGATGCTCTGCAAAATAAGAGGTCTCTACAATACCAAAGACCCTTCCTTATCCTCAAAGGAAGCCAGTACTCCTTGGCAGTGTTTTAGAGATTAGTTACACAATCCAGAATTTAGTAATTGTTTTAAACTCACAGCAACCACCATCCCATTTTCATGAGGTGAAAGCACACAGTGTTCAACCTGTCTGCATGCCACGAAGGTTAAGAGTTCACACAGCCAGCTGAGGGGCATCTACCTCCTGTGCTACCCGTACACTGCCAGGAAGACCAAGATCCGGTTCCCTAAAACCTCACGTAGTGGTAACACAGCCAGAAATACCTCAGCATTAAAAAACAACAGAAGAAAATGGCCTACGTAACACTAACAACTTGCACTTGCAGAATGATGACATCAGGCAAATGGAAGAAGCCCAAATGAGTAAAATATATTCAACTTTTAGACTCCTCCCCTAAATTTGACATCTATACTCACGCTAATCAATCTGCTACAGTCAACAGGGGAAAAAAATCCCATACACATCGCTGGCAGCTCATCTGTCCTAAGAGAGGATCAGAATACCTTCTGGAGGTACACACGTCTCTCCCTCTGGCTATCAAGGGAGAAAGAGATGGCCGAGGCTTGGACGAACACTCATCCCAGCTGCTGTACACACACAAGGATGGGACTTAACCTCAGAGCTCAAGAAGCAAGTGAACACCCTTGTACTGGAAAGTTCATCACCTACCATTTGCTACTCACTCCTCTTGGCTTCATTGCTCACTGGAGCACCTGTAACGAGGCTCCCTTTTTACCTGGGATTTTGTTCCCTCCTCAGATCATCCAGAACAGGAAATGTTACCTGATTATTGTAGCACATGCTACAGATTTTGCCAAGAACTTTATTTTATTTATCAACACAGTTTTTCTAGCAATGCATGTCTTATACCTCTTAAGCAGAATACTGTAATTTCTTTTCCACAGTCTCACTGGTATAGAATCAATCCTTAAAATCCTTCACATAAAGTCACAGGATTTTTGACCTGCTTCAGTTTCAGGAGCTGTGCAGACACTAGCACTGAAGAGGAAAAGCATGAAAATCCCAGGAAACATGAGACAACACCAGTGTCGTTTACCTGGCTACGAAGCTGGCAGTCTTGTCCACAATATTCCTGACCTCTGGAGGAGGGTAAATAATTCCTACCACGGGTTTGGCTGGTGCTGCTTCCTCTTTTGGCTCCTCTTCTGGCTGTAATAAAATCGTATATATACACATGTATACAGTCCTCTGTACTGCTGCCTCACAACTACAGCAACTATTCAAAAGGTGAAGAGGTGGTGGCCCAGGAAGACATCCTTCATTGTGGTGTTTGAAGTCAGTCAAGGTATTAAACTCAAATAGCCTAAATCAAAGCTGAAAATAGAAGGAACTTCAAATAATGTTGAGTAACGTAATATATACCAGCATCAGAGGTGAAAGCCCAGTAGGTTGCAAACCCAGACTAGGTTTATTTTCAGGTGACTAATTTGGAAAATTCATCTCCCTTCTCTCTCACTTTCCTCATCTACATTGGGAGTTAACAATTCTAACACACCTTCACACACTCTTCTGCAATTCCGTGTTTAACAAATTCTATGTAAGAATTAAGTATTCCAAATGGCACACAGGACCATCTATCCTCCTCCTCAGCCCCAGATCACTGAATTTTTCCTGACACAAAGCTCTGGTTTAACAATCTACATGACCTGCTCCACAAACTAATTCCTCAACTTCCCAGGGTGGGAGGTAATGTTTGTCTGCTCACCAAGGGCACCCGCTGCAGGGGCAGGCACAGCAAGACAACAAGGAAGGCCCCTTCATGGGAACCAAAACAAGTCCTCCTGGCATTTTTTCCTATCTCAGCCTTGACCCTGAGTAGGTTTATAAATACCAAGCTGAGTGAGAGGCAGCATAGGGGAGTAGGCTGTAACACCACATCTAGGAAAACTCAGCATTACTAAATTAGTCTGGAAGTTATGAACGTTCCTAGAGGCCTGTGGGACTACAAGAAACAAGAATCTGAATTATTAACTTCACATTAAATAAAACAGCCTTTAATCCTAATGTGGTTGCATCAAAAGACGCTTCATAAAGAAAAAGCTCTGCAGGGTGTTTTTCCTCATTGATATTTTAGGAGGATCCAACCTAAAATCCCAGAATCCTCCCTTGGACAGCTATGTCTTCCAACAAGACCAGAAGCTGCTCTTTGCATGATACTAAAGATGTTACTTCTCTTTCCTTACCAAGCAACTTTCACAAGCAGAAATGTTATAAAAGAGGTGTATGGCAAATGCTAATAATATTAACAGGGACAGTCAGGGAAATTTTAAAATACAAGTAAAGCTACTAGCTCTACAAAATCCACGGGGACTCGAAGGCAGAAAACACTCCTGAGTCAAATACAACCTTAATAAAGTGCATCAAGAGGAAGGAACCGTAAATATTATTAGTCTTCATTCCCACTCCCTCCAGACAACACCATCTTGATGAGCTAAAGGATAAGGCAACACTGCACTTGAGAAATATTTTTATTTAACTGTGATACTGGGTTGCCCTGCAAACTTATATGCATGAAAGTCACTTAAGTTTTTCTGGGGAAACCATGATTTTCCTCCTAATTCCGCTAGCTACACCAATCACCCAAGATTTTCAGTCAGACCTGATCCCTACACTGACTTGCTGTACAGCTGCGTAAGTGCCGGTGCTGGTGTGTGAAACCGCTGGGACGTGCAGACAGGACACAGCTCCAGGTACATGTCAGGATGAGCCTCCTTGGAGGTGAATAAGGCCGAGACAAAAGAGAACCAGGCAGTGCAAAACACGGGAGTGCTACGCTTTCTCGAGCACACCGGGACGGGGGTGTTTAACCTTTTCATAAATTCTTTCCGGCGGCAGGGCTGTTCCCGTAATTTACAGCAAACACTAACGCCCCTCACAGTTCCAATCCCGTGCCGCTTCCAGGCAAGGACTCGGCCTTCTGCCGTGTGTAGCACCCGCCCCCCCGCCCAGAGGGCTGACGGTGGATGGACGGGGAGCTGCGGCCGGTGCCTACGGGAATCGGCGGCAAACAGCGGGAGGGAACTGCAGCCTCACCCCACACACACACAGCACCCCCACCCCCCCAAACAAACAAACAAAAGCCCACAAAAATAAACCCAAAACACGACAAGCGGATCAGGGTAAGGAGCCAGAGATCACAATGCCGGCCCTGGGCCCCGCCTCCCCTCAGCGCGGCCGCCCCCCCCCCCCGCCCGCGCGGCCCGCACCGGTTTGCTCTCCGCGGGGGGCGCTGGCTGCGCCGGCGGCATGGCTTGCACGGGTCCGGCCGGCATGGCGCTCCCTCAGGGCGGCGGGCAGCACTTCCCCACCGGAGCCGCTCCCGGGCCGGGACGAGCGAGAGGCGGAGGGAGCTGACGGTACCGCGGACAAAATGGCGGCCGCGGGCGGGGAGGCGGAGGGCGCTGCGGGGAGGGGGGGGGGTTGGGCAGCGCGCATGCGCGGTGGGAGGTACCATTAGCTAGCCGCACGGAGGGGGGGGATCCCAACAGAAGGAGACGGGAGCAGGAGGAGCGTACCATTGCGGCGCGGGGGGCGTGGCCTGCGCGGTTGCCATAGCAGTTGGCGGGGGCGGGGGTAACCCCGGTGCCGCGTCCCCTCACAGGCCCGCGGCCCAGCGCCTCCTCGCTCTGGGACCCTCCGGTCTCTCGGCCTCTTTAGCCACTGTGCTGGTCCTCCTCTAGCGACCTGTCCCCTCCCTCGGCAGCATGGCACACCTCCTGGGCCACCCCGGCTGCATGGAGAGCCTGCGGGCCGACCTGAGGGACCTGCAGGCAGCCATCGCCCAGGTCTTCTCCCGGGCCGGGGCCGCGCGTTTCCCCTCCTGGAAGTTCCCCGACAAAGTGTCCTGTGAGCTGGATGTGGCCGCGCTGCTGGAGCGGTACCGCTACAGCGAGGACGACGCCGAATTCACCCAGCACTCCCACGTTGTGCTGCTGGAGCTGGTGATAGACAGGTGAGGAGGCAAAGCCAGCCCCAACAGCCCCTCTCGAAAGGAGCTCGGCTGGTGGAACAGCTCCTTCCCCTCACAGGAAAGGGGACAGTTGTGTGTCCAGCCTGTCGAATGAGGCCAGGTGGTTTGAGTGCTTTTTTCCCCCGCTTGTTTCCATACTGAGCAATGTGCCAGCACCTCATCCTCATGCTCTGCAGCTCTATGCCGAGTTTTAAAACCCAACTCCTTTCCTTGCACGGAGCTACGGGCACAAATGCTGGCCACAAAGGAGCAAAGCAAGCTGCTGCTCCACCTGGGAGACAAGAGCAGCTGGGGACAGGCTCCTTAAATTGCCCCCTGAAACCTTGGAAACACTCAGACGCAGCTGCACCTACAGGCCTGGGAGGCAAAAGCGCCTTTTGCAATCTAGGTGAAATAAATACCAGTCTGTTTTGAAAGGTGAACCGTGCCCACAGATCTGTTGGCCCTAACAGGGTTTGGTAGCAGCAGCGTGGGTGCCCCAGATCTTTCGGGAGAGCCTAGCTGCAGCCCCTCAGGAGCTGGCTGCAGGCAGCGTGTGCAGCCTGTGTCCTGGCAGCTGTAGGAGGATTTTCATCACACCAAATCCTTGGAGCGATTCAGGCCTGGGAGGGGACCACAGGGGCGTTGATATCACCCTCCTTTGCCAAACTCACTTTGTCCGGGGGATGGGGAACGGGGACAGCCTTCCTTGTCTCAGCACTGGCCCTTCAGGCTTGCTGCGCTGTTAAAATGCACTGTAATGGGGCCCTTTCCCTGTGACAAATGCTCCATTGTTCTAAGCTGTGTTTTGTTTCCTTGTTGAAAAGGCTGCTGCTGTTGCTTCAGAGCTTCACCAGCTACACAGAAAACCTGCTCAGCGAGAGAGCCATCCCCCCTGTGCAGGCAGTGGGACCCTGCATGTCCGCGGGGCTGACGGTGAGGAGGTACTGGTGCAGCATGCTGAAACTGGGGGCCTCCTACCAGCAGCTCCTGGCTGAGGTGGGACATCTGGGAGTCCTGGTGCCCCACGAGCTGAGTGCAGGGGTCACGGAAATGGTTCTTGCCTCACCCCCCATGATTTGGACTGTGCTGAGGTCACGGTCCTTTTCGGGGACACCCTATGATGTGCGCAGTGTCTACACCAGATGTGCTCCTGCCTCACGACCCTCTGAGTCCTGACCCATGTGTCAGACAGGACACATCTGTCTCGCACTGTCCCCTCCCAGTCTGTCCCTGGACAGTCCCTTCCCTCCTCTGACCACCGCTCCCAGCCGTGCTGCTGGATCCACCTCCTCCAGGCCTCCACCAGGATCTTGGGATGGGTGAGCTTGGCTGCCTTTACTGCTTGGAAAAATATTCTCCTGCCAACGTCAGCTCTGCTGACCCCACTGTTTGTGAGGCTGAGCTGGCTCAAATCAGTGAAATAATTTGTGGTAAAAACACTATGCCCCTCTCCTGTATTTTTTTTTTTTCCCAAAAATGATCCTTCTCATGAAAAAGTCTTGCAATAATTTATCTGGTATAACCAGGAGACAGTACAGGAGGTGTGAAAGAAGGGACAGTCACAGGAAGGGGAGCAGGTTTTACTGCTGAGGCTTCCTTTTTGTGAAACCACAGCTCCGCTAAAGTAGTGGGGACTAGAAAGCTGCCTGGCGGCTTGTAGAAATTCAGTTCCCCCATACCCTGCATCAGGAAGTGGGAAGCAAATTCATTTTGCTTGTTAGACATGTGCTTTGGTTGTAACGGAGCACAGTAAACAGGGAACCCAAAGGCTTGGTAGCTGTCCTCCTCCAAGCTCTGGGAACTTATCTTAAGGGAAGGGTTTGCTGCCCTCGTCACCTCTTGCTCGCACCGATGTCCTGTCCCCACACTTCACACTTATGTATTTGGGCTCTTACGGAGCATCTCCCTTAGGAGGCCGGGCTGAGAGAGTTGGGGGGGTTCAGCCTGGAGAAGAGGAGGCTCCAGGGAGACCTTAGAGTGGCCTCCCAGCGCTTAAAGGGGAGACAGGAAAGGTGGGGAGGGACTCTGGATCAGGGGGGTGGGAGTAGAACGAGGGATAATGGTTTTGAACTGCAAGAAAGTAGATTTAGATTAGTTATAAGTCAGAAATTCTTCCCTGTGCGGGGGGTGAGGTGCTGGCCCAGGGTGCCCAGAGCAGCTGTGGCTGCCCCCTCCCTGGAAGGGTTCCAGGCCAGGTTGGACGGGGCTGGGAGCACCCTGGGCTGGGGGAAGGTGTCCCTGCCTGGGGCACAGGGGTTGGGGCTAGGTAATATTTAATGTCCCTTCCAACCCAAACCATTCTATGATTTGCAGCCTACTCTGAGCTGGACCCTGTTTCTGTTCTGTGCTCTCTCCACCAGAAGAAAGCTTGCAAGAAGGAGATCCCCACACTGCAGTCCACTCCCCAGGCTGGGAAACCTGAGGAGAGGCTGAAACACTGCTTGCCTGACGTTTTGGAGTTAAGAACTTGCACAGAAGCTGCCCAGTCCACTTCTCTGAGCCTGTCATCGAGTGTCCACACACTGGGCAGCGACGCCTCGGGCAGCTCCCTGCCCAGGGCTGCCCGCAGCGTGGCCAAGCGCAGCTGCAGCATCCCCACACAGATGACTGGGTCATCTCAGAGGCCCTGTGACACCTGCAGCAGTGCCCAGGCCAGCCTCCGCGAGGTCGGCAAAGCCATCACCAGTGTCTGCCAGAGCCAAAACATCCCCTCAGCTCTCGGCAGGTTTCAGGAGATGGTAGAGGAGACCATGGGGAAAAGGACCCTCTCTGCAATGGACATGAGCTACTGGGCCTCGGAGCAGAGCAAGGACCTCTCCCGGATCAGCAAACACCTCCAAATGCTGCTGGAGCAGGTCAACCCTCTGAAGTCTGAGCTGGAAGAGTCAGAGAAACAGAAGGACAAGCTGCAGAAACAGGTTGAGGACTTTTCCCGGTTGCTTCAGGCAGAGAAGGAGACCCAGTTGCAGCAGAGGAAGGAGGCTGAGCAGTGCCTGGAAGTAAAGAAGAAAGAGTATTTAGAGGCTGTAGCCAGGCTGGAGCAGGACAAGGATGACCTACAGAGAGGTACAGTGCTGTTCCCAGCACCCCCTCCCAGGCCCGTGGGTATTTGCAGGAGAAGCACAGAGTCCGTGGTCAAATCTTGGTCCCATCATCATAAGCAGGGCTTTTGTTCACTGATTTTTGTAGGCACTGCAGGTTTTTCCCTACTGTCAGACTAACCCCAGGCAGCAGGAGCTGGTTGTCCATGTCCTTTCACTGCCTCATCCCTGCTGAAGCACAGCACAATACATTCACTGGTTGAAAAATGCTTTGGTGCAACCACCTGCTGCCTTCCTGTTTTACTTTTCTTGAGGAGCTGTTTAATTAATAGAATTTTTTTGCTGGTTTAGGAGCTTCTCTGATGGAAGAACGATTGTCCGCTTTAAAGGAAGAGCTGGCTGTGAAGCAGGCCGCTGTGCAGGAGCTGGGTAAGGACCCCTGGGGCTCACCCAGCTGGGGCACATCTCTCCCCCAGCCTCACTCCACTCTCACGAGTGTTTTACACCCACGTCGCACCCGGCTCCCCCAGAACCGGTCAGGCGTAGCGCTGGTGGGAATGGGCAGACGACAAGCCTCCTTCGTAGCAGTGCCCCAACATCACCCAGCGCCTGAGTGGGCTCGTGCTGGTGGAGATTGAGGGGGTTGCAGCCCTCCTGTCAGACCTGCCTTCCCCTCGCCAGTGCCTGAAGAGGGTGTGGGGCCCCCTGAAGACGTCTTATCTGGGAGCTTCTCCCCTCCTTGCCCAGCCTGGGCCAAAGGTGCCATGTCTCTCCCCAGAGGTCACCAAGACTACCTTGCTGGAGGAGATGAGGACCACGATGGTGGCCAGAAGCCGGGTGCTGGAGCTGGAGGAGAAGGTGCAGCTGCTCACTGACCAGCGGGAGAGCCTGGGCCAGGAGCTGAGTGCCACCACCACCCAACTGGAGAAGGAGAAGGCCAAAGTGGAGAGCATGCTGAAGCACCACGAGGTAGGGCTGGGCCCGCTGCTGCTCACTCTGCCCCCACTCCAGAGCTGCTCTGCAGCCCCACAACATTCTGTGGGAGCGGGCTGAGCTCGGGCCGGCTCCTTCGTACCCTGGGGCTTAAGCCAGGGTGTAGGAGGGGATGGTATAGAGATCCTGCTCGTGGTGCTGGGCCCTGAGGAGCTCACCCTCTGTCTGGCTTTGGCTGAGCCCTGCTCACCCCACAAAGCTGCTGCCACAGCCCCTTGTCATCGTGGGTGCTGCTGCACGGTGTGGGGGTGGCGCGAGGGGGTGCAGCAGCAGCCCCATGCAGGCTCGCCTGCCCTGTGCAGTCCCTGCAGGCCAAGCAGAGGGCCCTGCTGCAGCAGCTCGACAGCCTGGACCGGGAGCGGGAGGAGCTGCAAGCCAGCCTGGGAGAGGCCGAGGAGGACAAGGCCAGGCTGGCAGAGCAGCTGGAGGAGAGCCGGGAGCAGAGTGGGCAGCAGCTACGGGTGCAGCAGGTCAGCACAGGCAGCCAGCACGCGTCTGGGGGGGCTCCCTGGGGACACAGCTCTGCCATGGGGGGTAGCAGGATCCACCCGCTGCCCCGTCCCCTACCCATAGCTGGAGTTTTCCCAGGAGCGGGACTGTGGGACTTGGTGTGACATTGCCACGTGGCCATGTCCTCCTGGGCCCCCCTGGGGAAGATCCCTCAGCCCCTGTGCAGACAAGTCTCCGCTGGTTTTCCCCAAGGCTGAGGGAGCAGCTGGAAGCAACTCCCGTGTCTCCAGAGTGCCCGTTCCTGGACATGCACCATACTTCACGGTCGGTGCTGTTCCTTCCAACTCCCACAGGGACCTTCCAGCTGAGACCCTGCACATTGTTGCTGTCTACTTCCCCCTGCCACATTCTTGTCACATAAGGAAAGGGAGGGAACTTTCCTTGGGGGTCTGAGTACTGCGGGGCTCCGCCAGTCAGTACCGTCCCAAGGTTTGGGAGAGCACCCTGCAAACCTCACCCCCTCTCTGCCGTGCCATACAGGAGCTGCTGGACAAGCTGCAGCAGGAGAAGCTGAGCCTGGAGCAGTCTGTCTCGGAGCTGCAGGCAAATGTCTCCAGGCTGGAGGAGCAGGCGCGGGAGCTGCAGGAGCGGGAGAGGCTCCTGGTGTTCTTCCCCGAGCTCCACATCCCTGCTGAGACGCAGTTTGAGAGTAAGGGAGTGGGCAGCAACGCCTGCTTAGCCCGCAGTGGGCTCGTGCCTTCAGGGTCTCCCAGAGCTCACAGGGGATCGTGCCAACCCACTAACAGCTAGGAAGGGCTCAGGCCCTGAGCTGTGCTAAGCCGCTACCATCTTAACACGCCTCCCTATGGGAGTGCTGCTCATCCCACCTCTGGGCCAGGAAATAAAGCAGGGCCAGGGCATGGGCAGAGCTTTGTTTGCCCTCCTGGTTTCTGCTGGCATGGTTTTGGGTCCCAGCTGCCACCTGCCAGGCTGTGCTGGTGCTCCCTGGTTGGGGCAGCCTCCTTTCCAGCGGGCAGCCACCCTGCTTGGCAGGCAGGAGGGGCTGCTGCCGACACCTCCGAGCGGGGAGGCAGCAGTGGGCTGAGCTCTGGCTCCTGCTGCAAGGATGTCGTGTTTTGTTTGCAGGCACCGGGAGCTTGACCGAGGACATGGAGAAGCAGCTACAGGCCAACACCATCCGGATGAGCATGCTGGAGCAGGAGAATGTGCGGCTCAGGTCTGCGCTGGCCAAGGTGAAGGCGGCTGCTGAGCAGGGCGTGCTGAAGGTGAGGCTGCCCTCAAGCCAGGGTGAGCTGGGTGTCACCAGGGAGAGGGGGGCACGCACCCCAAGACCACCCCATGGCCCCTGGCGCCGTCCCATATCCTCTGCAGACCCGTTCCCTGGTGAGATACCCTTGCAGAGAAGGTTCCAGGGAGCAAAAGGCCGTGGGACTCCTCCCACAGTGTCCCCTGTGACTTAGCAGCTGCTTCCCCAGCCTGCACGGGACTGAGCTGGACAAAGCTGTTTCCAGAAGGGCATGAAGCTGGGCAGGGGCTGTGATCCTTCGCTGTCCCAGCGCCTGATCCTTCAGGAGCTCATCTCAACCTCAGGGCAGCTGAACCGCTCCCATCTGATATTCTCCAAGCCGATGCTGGGGCACTGCAGCTTGCAGCAGCCAGACCCAGACCTGCTCTGGCACAGCCCCAGTGCCAGGCTGCAGCCAGGGACAGCTCACGAGGGGCACCTGCACCCCAGGCAGGGCAGCACGGGGGCTGCTGCAACACCTCTCCCTTGGGGAGCCCCTCCAGCTCAGCCCCGTCCGGTTTAGACCAGCGCCGTGGTTTTGGGGTGTGCCAGGTCTCCTGTGCTACCAGATCAGTCTGGTTTAAATGGTGTTGGCAGGGAGAGCTGCTCAGCCAAGGTGCCCTGGGCTGGTTCCCAGCTCCTTTACACGGGCCCCATCGCGGCCGTTGTACCCCCAGCTCAGCAGTGACGGCCGCCCAGTGCGGAGGCCGAGGGCTGCAACCGGAGCTGAACGCGAGGGGGGAAATTTCACCCTCTCTTCTCTTCCCCAGCTCGTCCCACAGACCCAGCTGTGGTCTCAGCTCAGCAGCCAGCGTGGCGGGGAGGCCAGCAGGCATGACGCAGGGTGAGTAAGAACCCAAAGGGGCTGGGGAGCTTCCCTCTTCTTCCTCCTCTCTAACCACTCCCACCACCCGCAGGCGGCTGAGCAGCCGAGGCAGTGGGGACAGCACTGGGACGCACGGCTGGGCAGGCGAGGCCCGGCAGCGACTGCCCAGCAGCCAGCGGTCAAAGCTGCTCTCAGCAGAGCACCTGTGCGAGGCCGGACCCTGCCTCCCGCTCCGGGCTGAGGGCCTGGTGCTGAGCCACCCCGAGCTACGAGGGAGAGGCAGAGTGTGTCCCCCAGCCTTTCACCGCGCCGGTTACCACCGCAAATAAACGCTCGTGAGACTAAGGCAGAAATGTTCAGCAAGCCCTGCCCCGTGGGACCTCGTTACCTGCTCTTTGTGCACCATGAAGGCGCCTTCCCTTGGGAAAACCAGCCTCTGCTCGTCCCCTCGAGCCCACGCACAGTGGGCACAGGAAGCCTGGGGAGACAGTTGCCACGGCTCAGCTACCAGCCACCCTCCAGCTGGTGCTTCGCTTTGTTTCCCCACACGACTGCGGCACCGAACGGGTCCAGGCTGTTTCCCCTGTTGTCACTCTGTTGGGCAACGTTGCGGTTTGTGGTGACACCGACGGCAGCAGCACGGAGAGCTGAGCTGGCACGGCCCTTTCTCTTCAAACTCAGCACAGCAGCCCCGGGAGAAGCCCTGCGGCAGGGCCCAGGCTGGCTTTTGGGATGGACCCGCACGCAGGCAATGAGCCCTTGGGGGAGGTGCTCCCTGGGCGAGCAGAGCTGCCCCTGCAGAGTCAGCGGAGCGGGGCCGGGGACATTCCTGGCCGCTGGAGCTCGGCTTGCCCACAGCTAAGCTGCTGCTGGTGTCCCCAGCACTCTGTGCCATCAGCCCGACAATACCTGAGCACAGCGCAAGTTACCTCACGCCAGGGACTGTTCTCAAGAGACGACTGGGATGTGGCCACGCTGCTTTGAAGAGGAAGGCAGAGCTGGGACTGGGGATGAGGAGTGCGAGCTGCCCGTAGCTCACCGGCACAGCCGCAGCCTGGGAAAGCGGCTCACCCTGTGCTGCCGGCAGCCATGGGCACCCAGAGGGGCCAGGGCCCACCGAGCCACTGGCACCCACCCTCCCCAAGCACCCTCACCAGCCACGGAGGGCAGCGGGAGCCACACAGCCCCAACACGAGACATGGCAGCTTGTCCTTGCTCTGTATTTAATAGACAGACACGTGCGATGCTGCAGCCCAGCAGCCTCTGGAAGAGGAGCCAGTCAGGGCTCGGGATGTTCCCGGCCACCGCGGCACGCCCGTGTTCAGTCAAACGAGCCCTGTGTTTGCTCTCTGCAGCCAACTCGTGCCATCCGTTCTAATAAGTTAGTATAAATAAAGTGTTCAACCCCCCTGCCCTCCCGCAGTGAGGTGGTGGATTGCCCAGCAGCCCTGGCAGATCTGACACCCCCGGCCCCCGCGGTGCAGAGGGGCTCACGCCCTGTCAGGCTCTGCCCATGGCCACTGGCAAACGGAAGAAAAAAAAAAAGAGAGACTTAGAAAAGTTACTGTGAGCGGGGAAAGTGCAGCTGGGCCAGGGCACTCTCAGCCTGTGCCCCCACCCCGTTACACCCAGGGGTGCCCCAGCAGCTTCCCCCAGCCCCCCAGCACTGGCTGTCTGGACCCCCCCACCCCTCTACTCCCACCCGGCAGGGAGACCCCCGAGGTCCTTCACTCTCTGCGCAGTTGGGTGCTGTGATGGGCACAGCCGCGCCGAACCCGATCCGGCAGCGAGCGCTGCTTGTCGAGCACCCCCTGCCCCCCTCCCTCCCCCCGCAGCGGCGATGGGTCTGCATCTGTCAGGCCGGCTAGCTCTCCGTGCAGCAGTTCCCTGGAAGGGAGAAGGATGGAGAGCCATCGCACGAGGAGCCTGGGGGGGGGGCTCAGATTCCTCTCCAGCCCTCGCCCCGACACAAACCGGGGCACGGCTGGGCGCCAGTGCAGCTCTCACCCAGGATGTTGCGCTTGCAGAGAGGGCAGGTCTGCTGCAGGAGGAGCCAGGGGTCCACGCAGTCGCGGTGAAATTCGTGGGAGCAGGGCAGGACCCGCAGCCACTGCGGGGAGGGAAGAGGATGGAGGGAGCGGAACCTCCACCGCGCCGCCCCGCGGCTCCCTCGCAGGGACAGCAAAGGGATGGCATGAGCACGGGTGGCCCCGGGCGGTGACCAGGAGATGAGCTCCAGGCCTCCCAGCGCAGCACCGGTCCCTACCTGGCTCTTGTGGAACTGGTCCAAGCAGACGGCGCAGCTGTCGATCTCGCAGGCCCGGCTCCGGGGCGGTTTGCCGGGATGGTACCGCCGGGTTTTCAGCGCCAACAGCCGCCGCCGAATGTGCTGCTTCAGGTCCAGCTGCGAAGGCAGAGAGAGCGGAGGGTCAGACCCCGGCGGCCGGTTTCCCCGGCAAGGAGCAGAGCGGAGAAGTTCCCACCTCGGCATCCTGCTCCGACGGGTCTTGCCGCGACTGCCGCTGCGCCTGCACGATCACCCCGGTGCAGAGCAGCAGGGCGATCAGCAGGATGGTGTTCCACAGCTGCTGGAGGTATTTCTGTGGGAGCAGCACCGGTGGGCAGTCAGCGACCACAGTGGGGAGGGGGGGGGGGGCCAACCGGAGACCCCCCGCTCCACCAGGAACCGCGGCTGCGCGAGGAGCCAGTGCCAGCGCACCTACCTGGACCTGCGAGCTGTTCTCCCCCGTGCAGATGACCCCCTGCCACTCCCCGTAGAGGCCCCCACGGGAGAGGCCGCAGGTTGACCACAGGGTGAGGGTCACTCCCTGCAAGGCAGGACACAGCATTGCCGACGGCCGCGGGGCAGCCCCGCCACGCTTGGGTGGATCACACGTGGCGAGGGGAGGAGGAACCGCCGGACGGTGCCAGCTGCCCCGCTCCCACAGAGCGAGTCTCTGGGGAAACTGAGGCACCAGCAACTTCGACAGCCTTTGTGGATCTGGCTCCCGCTCCCTGCAGCTCAGCTTCCCCACCGCTCAGGGTGGTTTGGCCGGGCACAGCCACATCCCTGCCCTCCCACCACGAGAGAGGGGAGGAGGAAGAGGAAGAACAACAGCTTCGTACCAGGTTCTCCAGCAGCACCGCCTGGTACGTGATCTTTGCCGTCGCCCGGAGCCCCCTGCGAGCAGAAGGCGAGAAGACCGTCAGTCCCGTGGGCACAGCAGGATCCAGCCCGTGGCACCCCAGTGCCAAGGAGCACTCCCTCCCCGGCAGCCCACGCTGAGCCGCGGACACCGGGGACAGAGGAACACACAGGGGAGGTGACAACGAGACTCCCCCTTCTGAGCAACCCCACACAGATTTCTTCCCGGCACCGTGCCTCAGTTTCCCCATCAGCGACACTGATTTATCACGTATAAGAAAGACCAAAGGATCCTAACGCTGCGGGGTGGGAGGGATGCCGGCGTCATGCTGACAACCAGCCCGTCCTGGTTAATTCGTACCCAGAGTCCTAAAGATCTTGGCTGAGGCCACTGTCAGACCCTACCGCCGCGTGGGAACCCAGGGAAAGGCTCAAGGCCTGCGGAAGGGCTGGATCTGACTCCAGTTCTCCCTGGAAACACGAGTCGCAGCCCCAGCCCAGCAAATGTGTGAGAAGCCACCCCCCAGGGCAGCCGGCACAGCCAGGCAGGGGATTGGCCACCCAGTCTGTACCGCAGCAGCGCTCCCAGCAGCTTGGTGACGTTGTCCGAGGACTGGATCACGATCACAGGCTTGGCGAGAAGCTGGGAAACATCCAGCTGCACCGGAGAGGAAAGCAACAGCTGTCAGCGGGGCGGGAGACCGGCGCAGGGAGCCGCCGCCGGGACCTCTCCTACCTCCCGGATGGCGTTCTGGTTCAGCGCCAGGATGAGCAGGGCTGACGCCCCCAGCACCAGGGCTCGCTTCATCTGCGGAGGCGGAGGGCAGAGGCTCAGAGGGCAGGACAGTGGGGGACACACACTCAGCTCCCGCCCCAGTGCCTCTTTGCCCTGGCTGAAGCATCACAAGCGACCCAAGAGGAGCTCAGGAGCCTTGTCGCGACTCTCCCCTCCCAGCCACCAAACCCAGCCCAGGACCCCCCAATATCTAGGAAGGGGACACCCCTGCGGGGTTGTTGTGACCGGCACCTGCCGTGGCAGCCCCCCCCACACCCCCCGGGCTGGGAGGAGAAGTCACCTTGCTGACGACGGCAGCGGTGAAGGATTCCTCCTTGGGGCCACGTGGGGCCTCGGCCGGCTCCTCGCCCACAGGCACCACACCGATCCAGCTGTCGGCAGCGCCCAGCTCGGGCTCCGCGTCTCCCACCTTGGGGTGGGGCACAGCAGCGTCAGCGGGTGGGGAGTGACACCCCCAAAGCACCCCGAGGAGCCAGGCACTGCGCACGGAGGGGGACAGGACCCGGCCCCCGCCACCGCCCCCCCCCCCCCTGCTTGCCCCAGCCTGTGCCCCCCCCCCCACCCCATGTCCCCCAGTGTCCCTGGCCTCCCCACCAACCCCCAGTGCCTCCCAGTGTCCACCAGTCCAGTTCCCACGGCTCCCCCCATCCCCTTTCCCCTCCAGTACCCACTGTTCCACCTTCCCCTCCCTCTCCCATCGCCCACTGCCCCCCCAATGCCTCCCAGTGCCCCCCAGTTCCCACAGCCCTCCCCTTCTTCCCTCCCCCACTGCTCCCAATGCCTCCCAGTTCCCACAGCCCCCCTGTTCCTTCCCCCACTGTCCCCCACTTCCCACAGTCCACCCCTTTCCCCCCAGTGCCCCCCAGTTCCCACAGCCCCCCCCTTTCCTCCCTCAATGCCTTCTAGTACCCCCCAGTTATCACTGCCCCCAATACCTCCCAATGCCCCCCAGTTCCCACAGCCCCCCCTCTTTCCTCCCCCAATGCCCCCCAGTTCCCACTGCCCCCCAATGCCTCCCAGTGCCCCCCAGTTCCCACAGCCCCCCTCTTTCCTCCCCAATGCCCCCCAGATCCCACTGTCCCCCAATGCCTCCCAGTGCCCCCCAGTTCCCACAGCCCCCCCCTCTTTCCTCCCCCAATGCCCCCCCAGTTCCCACTGCCCCCCAATGCCTCCCAGTGCCCCCAGTTCCCACAGCCCCCCCCTCTTTCCTCCCCAATGCCCCCCAGTTCCCACCCCCCCCTTTCCTCCCCCAATGCCCCCCAGTTCCCACTGCCCCCCAATGCCCCCCAGTTCCCACACCTCCCCCTTTCCTCCCCCAATGCCCCCCAGTTCCCACTGCCCCCCAATGCCCCCCAGTTCCCACCCCCCCCTTTCCTCCCCCAACGCCCCCCAGTTCCCACTGCCCCCCAATGCCTCCCAGTGCCCCCCAGCTCCAACATTCCCCCCTTCCCCCCCAATGCTCCCTAGTTCCCACCCCCCCCCCCCGTTCCCGGTGCTCACCAGCAGCAGGCGGCCGCGGATCTCCCCCTCCTCCTCCCCCCGCCGCCCCCCCCGGCCCGGGCCGCCCAGCACGGCACCGCGCAGCGTGTAGGAGCCGCCGGGCCCCGCGGCCTGCCCCGCCCCGCTCCCGGCCCCATCCCCCGGCCCGGAACCGGCCACCGCCACCTCGACGCGGGCGGCGGGCGCCAGCCCCGGTCCCGGTCCCGGTCCCGGTCCCGGTCCCATTCCCGCTCCCGGCCCGGCCCGGCACAGCGCCAGCAGCGGCGCCAGCAGCGCGGCCCGCACCGCCGCCATCGCCGCGGCCCGCACCGCCGCGCCCCGCCCCGCCCCGCAGCGCCCCCTGCCGCCGCGGAGGACCCGCCGCGTCGCATACCGCCGTCAGGGGGCGCCAGAGAGCCGGGGGGGGCGGGGACGGGTGGGGGACAGGGACGGACGGGTGGGGACGGGGGGTGACGACGACACACAGGGACAGGGACAGGGATGGGGACGGGGATGGGGATGGGGATGGGGACAGGGATGGGGATGGGGATGGGGATGGGGATGGGGATGGGGATGGGGATGGGGATGGGGACAGGGACAGGGACAGGGACAGGGATGGGGACGGGGGTGGGGACGGGGGTGGGGATGGGGACTGGGACAAGGACAGGGAGCAGGGACAGGGACAAGGCCTGGGACCAGGCTGGAGACTGGGACAGGGACAAGGATGGGGATCAGGATGGGGACAGGAATGGGGACAAGGACCAGGACAGGGACGGGGATGGGGATGGGAATGGGGACAGGGACTGGGACCAGGACAGGGACGGAAATGGGGAAGGGGATGGGGACAGGGACTGGGATTGGGACTGGGGACTGGGACAAGGACAGGGACAGGGACAAGGGCTGGGACCAGGCCGGGAACCGGGACAGGGACAGAGATGGGGATGGACATGGGGATGGAGAGATGGGGATAGGGACAGGAACAAGGACAGGGACAAGGGCCAGGACTGGGCCAGGAACCAGGACAGGGGTGGGGATGGGGACGGGGACAGGGACTGGAACAAGGACAGGGACAGGGAGCGGGGACAGGGGCTGAGACAGGGACAAGTGCTGGGCCTGGGACAGGGACCGGGAGAGGCACTGGGAGAGGAGCAGGGATGGGGACGGACAGTGGGACCGGCACCAGCAGTGGGACAGGGACAGGCACCGGCACCGGGAGAAGGACAGGGATGGGCACTGGGACCAGGAAAGTGACTGGCACCAGTAGAGGGGTGGGAACAGGGACAGACGTGGGGACACAGCCCCCCACAGCTCCCCCGGGGGTGCAGGAGCACAGTGGGGCACCACGGGGGGACACAGGGACACGTGCGCACTCGGGGACGCGGCCACGGGTGCCCGGGGACACGTGCGGCCCCGCACACACGGGCACCCCTGTCCGCGCACACGCGTGGGCGCACGCCTGGGTGACGTGGGCGCGGGCTGACACCCAAGCACCCCAAAATCCAACCGCCCCTGGCAGGTGTTGGGAAGCCGGTGGCGCCGCCGAGGCCCCGCTCCGGCCACGTGTGGCCGGCACGTGTGCCGGCGGGGGGGGATTTGCCAGAAGGATTAGCTGACCTGCTTGTGGCAGGGGCCACGCCAGGGATGGGGACTCGGTGCTGTGACATCCCCGCTCCCACGGCTGCTGGATGCCCGCAGGACGGGTCTGGGTGTGTCCCCAGTGTCCCCCGTGTCCCCAGCCATGTTGTAACTGCGGGGGTTTAATGGCAGGGTGGGCAGGGCCCCTCCACCCACAGCGGGCAACCGGAGCCGGTTTAACGGTGTGGCCAAACAGCCCCAGTGCCACGGGTTGGGTTGTGCCATAACCTGCAGCCCGGACAAAAACATAAACAGCCCAGCCCCAGGTCACCGACGCGGGGTTCTGTGTGGCTTCGGTGGAGCCCAAAATGGAGGCGGACACGCACGTGGGACCGACGCTGTGGGATGCGTGTGGGGTGTGAATGGCTCTGTGGAACATCCGTAGGTTCATGGGATGTGGATTGGCTTCCTGAGACACCTACAGCTCCAAGGGACACGCATGGCTCCACGGGCCATCCATGGCTCCGAGGGACGTGTACGGTTCCACGGGGACATCCACAGGGCCATGGGACACGGATGCCTCGGTGGGGTGTGTAGAGCTCTATGGGGCATGTGCAGCCCCACGGGACACACACTGGGGACTCCTGGGAGGGGACACTGGGGACAGGGGAACCTCCCCCTGCTCAGGACCCTGACCAGAGCAGGTCTTTGGGTGTCAGGGCTGGGGCTGTGGGATCCCTGCAGGGACCCCTTCTCCTGGCCAGGACCCCGTCCCTGGCTGGGGTCCCCCTCAGGGATGTCCCCTCTCCCTGGGGAGCGAGGGCCACTGTATGTGAACTGGCAGTGGGAGGGTGAGGCCGGTGTCCCCGATGTCTCTGCCCTGTCCCCTCTCCCTGCCCCCCTGACCCTGCCCCAGTCCCTTACCCCTGTCCCCCAGACCCTGTACCCGAGCCGCCACCCCGTCCCCATCTCTGTTCCCTGCCCCTGCCTCACTTTCCATCCCAATTCCCACATCTGTCCCTGTCCCCACCTCCCATCCCTGTCACTGTCCCCTCTCCCTCCCACCTGCCCCCATATCATCAGTTCCCAGCCCTGCCCCTGACCCTCCCCATGTCCTCCCATACCCCCCACAGCCCCATACCCTGCTGTGTCCCCCATACCCTCCATACCCCCCATACCCCCCACCTCCCATGCCCCTCCATGTCTTCCATACTCCCCCAAGTCCCCCCATATCCCCTATACTCCCCCATATCCCCTCATACTCCCTATACTCCCTCAGAGCCCCATTTCCCCCCTGCCCCCATACCCCCGTAGCCCCCATACCCCCTATAGCCCCCATACCCCCTCATACTCCCCATAGTCCCCATTTCCCCCCATGCACCCATACTCCCTATAACCCCATACCCCTCCATGCCCCCCATGACCCCATACCCCCTGTAGCCCCCATAATCCCTCATACTCCCCATATCTCCTGTAGCCCCATACCCCCCCATGCCCCCATATTCCCTATAGCCCCCATACCCCCCCCATGCCCCCATATTCCCTATAGCCCCCATACCCCCCCCATGCCCCCATATTCCCTATAGCCCCCATACCCCTCATACTCCCCCATAGCCCCTATTTCCCCCCATTGCCCCATACCCTCTCTAGCCCCCATATTCCCCCGTACCCCCCAAGTCCCCCCATACCCCCCCATATTCCCTATAGCCCCCATACCCCCCCCATGCCCCCATATTCCCTATAGCCCCCATACCCCCCCATGCCCCCATATTCCCTATAGCCCCCATATCCCTCATACTCCCCCATAGCCCCTATTTCCCCCCATTGCCCCATACCCTCTCTAGCCCCCATATTCCCCCGTACCCCCCAAGTCCCCCCATACCCCCCCATATTCCCTATAGCCCCCATACCCCTCATACTCCCCCATAGCCCCTATTTCCTCCCATTGCCCCATACCCTCTCTAGCCCCCATATTCCCCCGTACCCCCCAAGTCCCCCCATACCCCCCCATATTCCCTATAGCCCCCATACCCCTCATACTCCCCCATAGCCCCTATTTCCCCCCATTGCCCCATACCCTCTCTAGCCCCCATATTCCCCCGTACCCCCCAAGTCCCCCCATACCCCCCCATATTCCCTATAGCCCCCATACCCCTCATACTCCCCCATAGCCCCTATTTCCCCCCATTGCCCCATACCCTCTCTAGCCCCCCATATTCCCCCGTACCCCCCAAGTCCCCCCATGCCCCCCTACCCCCTGCGGCCCCCATACCCCCGTAGCCCCCAGCTCCCCCCCCGCCCCGGGCTCTCTCGGGGCGGCGGCGGGCGCTGACCGGGCGGGCAGGGGGCGGCGGGCAGGGTCCAAGGCCGCCGGGGCGGGCCGGGCTCCGGGGCGGGCCGGGGGCGGCGCTCCGGAGCCTCCGCAACCTGCCGCCGCCCCGGGCGCCCGTCAGAGGCGGCGCATCCCCCGGGCCGGGGCCGGGGCACCATGAGCGGCCGCGTCGGGGACCTCAGCCCGCGGCAGGCGGAGGCGCTGGCCCAGGTGAGCCGGGACCGGCACCCGGGGCGGGGGGGAGCGGGGGGCAGCGGGGCCGGGCTCCCGGGGCCGCCCCGATGCGCTCCTGCATCCGCTGCCTTCCGCGGCCACGGGCATCACCCCTCCCCCCCGCTGCCGGCCCCGCTCTGGGGTGCTCCCTCTGCACCCCCCCCCCCCACCCAGGCTCACCTCCTCGGAGCCCAAACCCACGGGCTGAGCTTCCCCCCCCGCCACCGGGGAAGGACAGGCCTGGGTGGGTCTTGCTGGACCATCCCGCCGGTGACTCCCCAAAACCGGGCATCCCCCCGATCCCTCTCCCATCCTTCCCGCTCGTCCCACCGACGCTCGGGAAACCTCCCACCCCGCCGTGGGGCTCCGGGGGCCGAGGATGCCCGGCCAAACCGGTGGCGGTCACCCACCGTGGCGGCTCTGCCACCCAAGGCCACCTCTGACACCTTCACCGGCACCTCGCCGGGACACCCGGGCTTTATCTGGGTTTATTCCACCTCACCAAGAGGGCAGCGCCGGGGACTTTATCTTATCGCTGCCTTTCCAACCCAACCCAACTCCAGCCGCGGGCGATGACCCCGGCGGGCTCTGGAGGCCGGGGGGTGGGAGCAGGCACGGGGCACAGAGCCGAAACCCTCCCGGTGCCAAGGCAGCGACCAGTGCGTGCGAAAGGCGAGCTGCAAAACCCGTCCGCCAGCACCTTGTTTTTCTCAGGGTGAAGAAGCTAATCCCCCGGGTTAATTACACCTAAATTCAGCGGGAGATAATCTAATCAGCCTCATTAAGGGGAGGTCCCCGACTGGTACGGAGATTTGGGCTGTAGCCTGGCTGGGGTGAGCGGGGCTGCGGGCCGAGGGTGCCCTGGCTCCCCCAAACCTTGTTCTGCACCCTGATTCCTGCTCCGGGCTGGCCAGGGGGGCTGTGACTCGCTGGGGTGTCACTGGAGCAGGGGGACACGTGGTGACCATCTCCATCCCAAAGGATCCCACTGGTGATGGCAGAGGAGGGGCCTGGTGTGCCCGATCCCTGCGGGAACCTCCTTGGGGGGAGCCGGGGGGTGGCAGCCCCCACTCACACCCTCACGCAAGGGGACCGGCTTGGGGACCCCCGGTGCTTGGTGGCCGGCCTGGGGACGGTCCCCTGCCGGGGAGGGGACCGGAGGCTGGCTGCTCATCACAGCTGCACATGGTGGCAGGGATGGGGCACGGGGTGTCCCTCCTCTCTTGGGACAGTCCCAGTCCTGGCTGGGACTTTTTTTTTTGGGGGGGGGGTGGGGTGGGGTGGGCGACAGAGGAGGGACAAACCTCCAGCCTTGGGGCTTTTGGGGTGGGAGCAGGGACCCCTCCACCAACAGTCCCTCTTCTTCCCACAGTTTCGGGAGAACCTGCAGGATGTGCTGCCCTCCCTGCCCTCCCAGGACGACTATTTCCTCCTGAAATGGCTCCGAGGTAACCCCCAGGGTGGGGGACACACGCAGGGGGGCTGGAAGACCCCGGGGGGAGGGTCTGTGGAGCCGGGGACGCTGGCGGTGGGGCTGAGCTCTCTGCTCTCTTGCAGCGCGCTGCTTCGACCTGCCCAAGTCGGAGGCGATGCTCCGCAAGGTGAGAGGGCACCCCGCTTTTGGGGGGGGACCCCACCGTACTGCCGTCAGGCTCCCAGTTGTCACCCGGGATGGGAGAGCGTGCCACGGGCCATTAGCCCAGCCCTTCTCTCCCAACAAGGGTGACCTGCCCAGGGGGTGCACCCCATCCCATGGGATGGGGGGGGTGTCCCCAAATCCCCTCACCCCGTCTTCCTCTGCCCCCCACCCCCCCTTGCAGCACGTCGAGGTCCGCAAGCACATGGATGCCGACAACATCATCGCCTGGGAGGCCCCTGAGGTGGGTGTCCTCAGCCCCCGGGGTGCCTGTCCCTGGAGGGGACTGTCCCCCCTTCCCGGGGTGGTGGTGGGGGGGTGGGGGGGTGTGTGCAGCCCCCCTGAGCCCCCCCCCCCCCGTGTTCCTGCAGGTGATCAAGAAGTACATGTCGGGGGGGATGTGCGGCTACGACCGGGAAGGCAGCCCCATCTGGTACGAGATCATCGGGCCGCTGGACGCCAAGGGGCTGCTCTTCTCCGCCTCCAAGCAGGACCTGCTCAAGAACAAGTTCCGCGACTGCGAGCTGCTGCGGCACCAGTGCGAGCAGCAGAGCCAGAAGGTGGGTGCCTGCCCGCACCCTGCCAGCCCCACCAACCCGTGTCCCCCCCCCCCAGCCAGCCCCATAAGTCCGCGTCCTGTCCATCCCCACCAGCCCGTGTCCCTGCTGTCCCCCAGACCCACGTCCCCGCGCCAGCACCCACGCCAGCCCGCGCCAACACTTGAGAGGAGGCTGCGGGTGGGGGGGACCAGCCCATTGGGGATTACCCCGTCCCCGGGACTGGCTGGGAGACCCCCCCCCTCCCGTGGGTCCCTGCAGGGGCTGGGCATTCCCTGAGCCCCCCCCCCCCGCCTTCATCCTCCTGTCCCAGCTGGGCAAGAAGATCGAGATGGTGCTGATGGTCTACGACTGCGAGGGCCTGGGCTTGAAGCATCTCTGGAAGCCAGCCGTGGAGATATACGGGGAGGTGAGGGGCTCCCCACCCGACCCCCCCCTTCCCCAGCCAGGGACCACGGCCACCCCCCGGGGCTGCGGTGGAGATGGGGTGACACAGGGATCCGGGCTCCCGCACGGCCCCGAGGGATGATGCAAGAGGAGGTCCTTGCTGGTGCCCTGCCCCCCCGCAGCGTTTTGGGGTGGGGGTCCCAGCCCCCACCTCGCCGCGCTCCCCCCGTGCCCTGGTGGGTACGTGGGACAGGAGGATGACCTGAAGCTCCCCCCGCGTTGCAGCTCCTGTCCATGTTCGAGGAGAATTACCCCGAGTCTCTCAAGCGCCTGTTTATTGTGAAAGGTGAGTTCGGCCCCGGGGTCCCACCACCCCACAGCTGGGTGCTGATCCCCAGCCTAACGTTCCCCATCTGCCCCCCCCCTCCCCCCCCAGCCCCCAAGATCTTCCCCGTGGCCTACAACCTCGTCAAGCACTTCCTGAGCGAGGACACCCGCAAGAAAGTTGTGGTCCTGGGATGTGAGTGCTGACCCCCTCCCTGGGGTGTTCCTGGCCGGGGGCGGACGACAAAGGGGGCAGTGGAAGCCAAAAACGGGGTGCCCCCTCTGCTTTTATCCCACCCAGGGGTGAAACCCCAACCCTGGGGGGTGTCCCCGGCCGGGCTGGGGGTCCCCACATGGGTCACAGCCCCCAGAAACGCCGCTGTCCTCCACCCCCCCCCCCCCCCCCCAGCCAACTGGAAGGAGGTTCTGCAGAACTACATTGACCCCGAGCAGATTCCAGTGGAGTACGGGGGCACCCTGACAGACCCCGACGGGGACCCCAAGTGCCCGAGCAAGGTAGGAGAAGCCCCCTGCCGTGGTTCCTTGGGGGGGGTGTGTGTGTGTGTGCACTGGTGATCCTCCCCCCGCTCCATACCTGCACCCATCTCCATCCCCTTCCAGATCAACTACGGGGGGGACGTGCCCCAGCACTACTACGTGCGGGACCAGCTGGCACAGCAGTACGAGCACACGGTGGTGGTCAACCGCGGCTCGTCCCACCAGGTCGAGTATGAGATCCTGTTCCCCGGCTGCGTCCTCAGGTGAGGAGGGGGCTCCCCCCGCCACGGGGAGAGGGGGGGAGAACGCCACAACGGTGGGTGCTGCGGGACCCCCCCCGAAACGGCTCTTGCTGGCACAGGTGGCAGTTCAGGTCGGAGGGAGCTGACGTGGGTTTCGGGGTGTACCTGAAGACCAAGATCGGGGAGCGGCAGCGGGCGGGCGAGATGACCGAGGTGTACCCCAACCAACGCTACAACTCCCACATGGTGCCTGAGGACGGCTCTCTCACCTGCTCCACGCCTGGCATCTGTGAGCGTGTCCCCCTTTCCCCTGGGGTGCTGGGGGGGGGGGGGGGGGGGGCACCCCCCCATGGGTGCTCCCCGCGTCCCTGACACCTCCTTCCTTCCACCAGACGTCCTGCGCTTCGACAACACCTACAGCTACCTCCACGCCAAGAAGGTGAGCTACAGCGTGGAGGTGCTGCTGCCCGACGCCGCCTCCGCCCAGCAGATCCAGACCCTGGGGGACAGGCTGAGCCCCTAGCGACAGCCCCCCCACGTCTCGCCCCCCCCACACCACCACCACCCACGGGGGGACCCCGAGGTCCCACGGCCAGGCAGGGGGCTGCTCCGTGCCCCTCCTCAGCGTGGCGGCTGGAGGGATGAACGGGAGGAGCCGAGCCCCCCCCGAGCTCCCGGGATGGAGCGGGGGGGGGCTGAGAGGACCCCCCCCCCCCCCGTTCTCTGTGCCTTATGGAGGGGGTCCCGTGCCCACCCGCCGCTGCGTGGGGTGGGGGGGGAGTAAAGGGATGGACTGAGCTGGGTCTCCTCTGGTTTTTGTGTATGTGCGTGTGTGTGTGCTCCCCCCCCCCGCCCCATAACTGCTCCTTGCCGCCCCCTCGGCCCCGGCACCGACCCCGCCCGCGCAGGGACACAGCCCCCCCCCCCCCACCCCCCAACCACGTGACCGCCGGGTCCCGCGTTACGTGCCCAAGCCAGGCCACGCCCCCCGCCGGCTCGCAGCTCGGCGGAGGCCACGCCCCCACACGGCCACGCCCCCGTCCCAATGCGTGCGGAGGGGCGGGGCTTGGTGACGCACATGGGGGGGGGGCCGGGAGATTTTCGCGCCATGGGGGCGGCGGAGCCCGACCTTTACCGGGACACGTGGGTCCGATACCTGGGTGAGCACCGGGCACCGGCGGGGGCACGGGCACCGGGGCTCGTCCTCGGGCGCTGTACCGGGTACCCGCAGCGCGCACCGGTACTGCACACCGGGCACCGACCCTGCGTACCGGCACGGGGTACTGACAGCGGGTACCGGCCCCGGTCACGGTCACCGTGCGCTGACACCGGGTACCGGTCACTGTCAGCGGTCCCGGCAGCAGGTACCGGTCACCCACACCGGTACCGGCGGGGCTCCAAGGTGACCTGGCTGCTCCGAACCACCCCCCCCCCCACCCCGTGCTGGATCTGTCCCGGCCACCGGTGCGTCCCGCTCCCGGGGACGTGGGGACACCCCGGGGCGAGGGGGGGCGGGGACACAGCCGGTCCCCGGCCCCACTGACCCGCCTCCCCCCGCCCCCCCAGGTTATGCTAACGAGGTGGGCGAGTCCTTCCGCCCACTGGTGCCCGTGACGGTGGTGTGGGCCAGCTACGGCGTGGCCACGGCCTATGTGACCGCCGACGCCTTCGACAAGGGCCGGAGAGCTGCCACCGTGAGTGTCACCCCCTTCCCCGCCCCCCCCCCCCTCCCCCAAAGCTGCTTCGCCTCCATTGACACCCCCCCCCCCCCCCCCCCAGGCCCACGCACAAGACCCAGCCCAGGCCACGCGGGTGGGGGTGGCCGTGGTGGACACCTTCATCTGGCAGAGCCTGGCCTCGGTGGCCATCCCCGGCATCACCATCAACCGGCTCTGCGCCGCCTCGCTGGCCCTGCTGGGCACCCTCACCCGCTGGCCGCTGCCCCTGCGCCGCTGGACCACCACCGCCCTGGGGCTGGCTGCCATCCCCCTCATCATCACCCCCATCGACAGGTAACGGGGGGGGGGGGGAACGGGAGCATGGGGACACCCCCTCGGGGACCACTGGGTACCACCACCCCACCCCAGCATCTCCCAGGGCATCCCAAGCGGGACGCCTGGAGTGCTTCTCCCCCCAGGGGAACTGGTCCCAGTACGAGCTTCGGGGAGCAGGGGGTGACCAGGGGGGCGAGGTGTATGCCATTATCCCATCCCAAATGGGTTTTGCCAAGATCCAGCCAGGACACGGCCCTGCAGGGATGGAGATTAGCAGGAGCCAGGGATTAACAAAGCGAGGCTGCACTAAGCCTGGTTTTGGTAGGGCTGGGGCCTCAGTGACATTAGGGACCACTCCAGCCAGCACCATCCCCCCATTGTGGCCAATTAACTGTATACACCAGAGAACACCCCCCCCCCCCCCCAACCCCACTGACCCCCTCTCTTGCCCCAGGACCGTGGATTTCCTGATGGACTCCAGTCTCCGCAAGCTCTATGGGGCACCGGGAGAGCCCCCAGCCCCACACTGAGGACCCCTGGTCTGGGGAAACTGAGGCACGCTGCTGATTTTGGGGTGCTATGACCCTTCTACTGTGAACCCTCGCACCGGTGGTGGCCCTGGAGTGGCCGCCCTGCCCCACGGCTGGTCCTAATAAACCATTTCAAGCCTGACCCCGCGCTGGGTGATGCTTGGGTACCGGGGCTGGGCCAGTGCCGGCGGGGACCCGTGGCCACATTCCCTCCTGGGACACACAGGGGCCTGTCTGGGTCCTGACCCCTGGGGATCTCCGTGGCTGCTCTGGGCATGCAGGATCACCCCACCAGTACCCCCAGGTCCTAGCTGGAACCCCTCCCCTCCAGAGCCACCAGCAGCCTCAGGGGACAGCCTGGGGCCTGTCCCCAAGGAGCTACCACCGTAGCCAAGATCTTCGTTGGTACCTCCAGGGACCCAGATGCCCCCAGCTCCAGCACCACAGGCTGGTCCCAGGAGATGTGGCTTCCAGGTGTGGTGGCGTCCCATTGGTACCACCAGAAGTTTTAAAGAAAAGAAAAATCACCTTTTATTGGGGAGGAAGGGGGTCAGTGGCTCATGCAGAGCCCTACGGCAGGCTGCGGTATTCCGGGCCCACCTCGCCCCCTTCCTCGGGCTCCCTGGGGACCAGGGCCCCCACCACGCTCTGCAGCTCGGCATGGAAGGGACAGTGCTGCCGCTGCCACCGCCGGCCCCGCCGGCGCCTGCCCATGCGGTGGGTGGCCAAGGCCAGCCCCAGCAGGCCCCCCGCCAGGGCGACCATCACCAGGGCACTGCCCACCAGCGCCAGCCCGGCCAGCAGGAACCTCTTCACCGTGCGGCACGGCGCTGGGGACAGCAAAAAAAAAAAAAACAAAAAAAAAACCAAAAACAAAAAAACCAAACCCCAAAACAAGCCAAAAAACAAAACGAAAAAAACAAAAGAGAGGGTTCAGATGTTGCTTCGGCACCGGGGGTGGTGGGTTTGGGGCCATGGGGAGAGGGTTGGGGGTGTCCGCTCACCTTCATACCATGGCACCTTCTCCTTTTTCACCAGCAGTGGTCCAACTGTCTCCCAGTGGAGCGTCCCTTCTGGGAACCCTGGAGGAGGACATGGCAAATAGAGCCTGGCCCAGCCCTGGGACCCCCCCCTTCCTCCCAAAGACCCCAAAATCATGTGGGGCCACCACATCCAGCCCCGGTACCTGGCAGCTCTCCAGATGGACAGCCAGTGTCACAGCAGTGGCACAGATCACTCTGGGAAGGGTCCTCTGCATTGTGCCAGCTGGGAGGAGAGAACAGAGTTGGGAGGGGGTGGTCTAGGGGTCCCCAGCCTCCACCAGAAGACCCACATAGTGCCATGCCAGCGGGTGCCTCCAGGTGTTGGCCTGGACCTTGGCTTTCTGTTCTTGGCTACCCCAGGGATGTCCCCCAGGTGACACCAAGGACTTCTCCAATTCGTCTGCATCTGGAGGGAGCCAGGACCTCTAGGGATGCCACTTGGAGGAGAAGTGTGACATCCAGATCACAGTGGAGTGGCTTGGCCCCCTAGATGGGTCCCATTGACAAGCGGCTTCTGCTCCCAAAGCACCCATGGGTGCTCATGTCCTGGGGCACGGGCAGGGAGCTTGTGCCGAGCTTACCTGGCCGACGCTTGGCTGTAGAAGCAGGACCTGGCACCGTGTCCCCACGCCGTCAACAGGCAGTGCACATAGACCTGCTGAGACACCAGTACCAGACAGGACATACCACCACCACCACGTCCTTCCTCGGGGATCCTGCTCTCCTCCCACCCAACCCTGTGGGGTTGAGACCACCCCAGCAGGGAACAGGATGCCCCAGGAGGGATGGTGCTTTGGGATCCCTGGGTCATCTCCCACAGGGCCTCCATCCCACCAGCAAGGACATCACCCCAAGCTCACCTCCTCCTCGGGCTCATCCTCCAGCACGGGGACCGGAATGGTGAGCTGGAGGGCAGACACCCCTCTCTGGTGCTGGACAAACACGCTCCCCAGCTTCTGCCCGTGCAGACACCTGAGGCAGGAGAGCAACAAAGGGACATTCCCAGGCTGTCTCCAGGCCATGGACATCCCTCCCCATCAGGAGGTCTTGATGGACTTCAGGGTGCCTGGCCAGCAATCCCCACCTCCCACCCCACACGCACTGACCCGTGGCTGTTCACCACCATGAAGATCCTCCTGGAGTGTCCCAGCTGCTCCGAGCTGGTCCCAGAGCACTGGTCCACGTAGATCTTCAGGGAGATGCCAGGACTGAAGTTGACCCTGGCCTCCAGGTGGATGGTGGAGCCGGGGCTCAGCACCAGCGGCTTCTTCATGGCACCGGAGTCTCCTGAAGGAGAAGGGAGGGTGGGTTCAGTGTGACATCCCCAAGCCAGTCCCACCACAGATAAGGACATCAGACACATCCCAGACCACCACCCATAGGTGTCTGCCTCAACCCCTGTGAGGCAGGTGCCTGCCCTCAGCTCCCCAATTTCAGAGCCCACCCCCTGTTCCCAGAAGCCAAGAGCTGTCCTGGCTCTGTCACCCTGGTTTGTCTTCCTTGCTTGCTCTCTGGAGCTACAGCACCTTCCTGGTCTTCCCCACAGAGCTCTGGGAGGGACCACATCACCCATCAGAATGCCAAGAGGCAGCTGACCCCCAAAATCCAATCGTGATATCAAGCACAGGATTGGGAACATCTCCGAGCACCACCATTAAAAGCCCTATGCACGACTGGGAGGAGAGGTCCTGTGGGGATGGCCCCCTTCTCCTGGTGGGCCCTATTGCTGAGGCCAGCCAGCAGAAAGCACTGGGTGCTGCTGGTCTTGAATGGACCCATCCTGTGGTTTCATCCCCCCAAAGTTGGCACTCAACACAAGACAGAGAGCACTCACCATCCAGGAGCCTCAAGGTGAAGTTCACGATGGGCTCCTCTGAGCTGGGGTGAACATGAGCCCCACCTGGAACGGCGGCAGCAGCGAGTACTGGGGCCACAGACCTTGTCCCCGTGGCTGAGGACATCACTGGAGCCACCACCGTGTGACCCGAGGACTCTGAAGCAGCCGGAGCGACGGTGGTCTCTGCAGCAAGGGCAGGGTTTAGCCAGTGAGGCTGAGCGTGCAGCAGCTGGAGCCGCACGTCCCGGGCACAGTGGGGACAGCCAGGTCCTCAGATGTCCCTGGGACTCGTGGAGGGCAGGTGGCAGCAGCACCAAGGAGGGGAGAGCACCCAGGCACTCAGATGGGTTTGGGCACATCGGGGTGCTCCTCCCTCCCCAGCTCCCCCAGCCAGGACCATCCCTGGCCTTGGTGGCCCAGCCCCGGGATGGGACCACTGGAATCGCTGTGGTGGTGGGTGCTGGAGGAGGGGGTGCTCCACAGGGCTCTCCACAAGCCTCCCAAAATGCAAGGTTGGGTGTCCTCAGCCACCCCAGCACCACACACGCCTGGGAGCTGACAACTGCGCCAAGAGCATTCTGCAGGACCATGACCCTGGCCAAGGCCGGGGACAGACCGGGAGCTGCTCATGGGATGGGAGACCGTTGCCATCAGCCACGTACCCCACCAGTGGCTCTAGTCCCCCCCCCAAAACCAGGTCCTTACAGACCTGCTGGGACACACGGAGCTTCTGGCAAGTCCCCTTTGCTCCAACCACACATCCCCAGACTACAGGGTCATTTTAAAAAGTCTCTCCACCAAGAAGAACTGTCCCAGCAGGTCCAGGAGGGCATCAGGAACCAGCACTGGGCAAAACCAAAGGGCACCTACGACCCTCCTGACATGGATGCCACCCCCCACCTCCCCCAGTACAACCAGTGCGGGGACTGAAGAGAGCAGCCAGGGGTCCCAGCCTTGCTCACCTGCCATCACCAGCCCCAGCACAGCCTCACACACCAGCAACCACCAGTACAACCCCATCCTCAGGGAGCAGCAACACTCAACCCCAACACCTGGGGGCCTTTAAAGACCAGGGTTGGCTGCCAATGGGCCCCAGCCGGTGCTTCCAGGTTTTGGGGATTTGCTTGATTTTCTCTGCAATCAACCAGCAGTCCCACGCAGCAGGCTGGTCCTACACACCATCCCAGCCCCATCACAAGGATCTGCACCCTTCGCTCAGTCCCTGTTCCATCACACAGTCTCAATCCCACTACTCAGTCTGGTCCTGCACGTGGTCCTGGTCCTGAGCAAGGCCCAGGTCCCACTGCGTAGTCCCATATCCACCAGTTAGTCCTGATCCCGTGCATGGTGTGAGTCCCATCATGTAGTTTTGGTCCTGCATGCAGACCTGGTCCAACCAGTTTACCCTGGTCCCACTTGCACCACATGGTCTGGTCCCACCACTTGGTTTTGGTCTCATGGATGTTCCTGGTCCCACCTCATGGTCCTACACATGGTCAGAAGCCCACCACAGTTTTGATCCCACCACTTAGTCACGGTCCCATGTATGTTCCTGGTCCCATCACACAGTCCTGGTGCACAGTGCACCACCCTTGTCCCATTATGGTCCTGCTTGCAGCCCCAGCCCCAGTCCCACCACACAATCCTGGACCCATAGTCCCAGCTTGGTCCCAGCTTACTGAGAACAAAAGCCCATAGGAGGAGGCTGTCAGTGTCCTCCTGGACCTGCTGGGACAGTTCTTCTTGGTGGAGAGACTTTTTAAAATGACCCTGTAGTCTGGGGACGTGTGGTTGGAGCAAAGGGGACTTGCCAGGAGCTCCATGTGTCCCAGCAGGTCTGTAAGGACCTGGTGTGGGTGGGGGGACTAGAGCCACTGGTGGGGTACGTGGCTGATGGCAACGGTCTCCCATCCCATGAGCAGCTCCCGGTCTGTCCCCGGCCTTGGCCAGGGTCATGGTCCTGCAGAATGCTCTTGGTGCAGTTGTCAGCTCCCAGGCGTGTGTGGTGCTGGGGTGGCTGAGGACACCCAACCTTGCGTTTTGGGAGGCTTGTGGAGAGCCCTGTGGAGCACCCCCTCCTCCAGCACCCACCACCACAGCGATTCCAGTGGTCCCATCCCGGGGCTGGGCCACCAAGGCCAGGGATGGTCCTGGCTGGGGGAGCTGGGGAGGGAGGAGCACCCCGATGTGCCCAAACCCGCCTGGGTGCTCTCCCCTCCTTGGTGCTGCTGCCACCTGCCCTCCACGAGTCCCAGGGACATC